CCGAAAATACTGGTTTAAACGCAGTAATAAAATATCGAGATCGAACTAATATGACATGTTTTTTGACTTTCAATAGGACGTCTAATTCCTTCACAGGAAGCGTCACAAAAAGACGATTTTGACTTTTTCAAATTTCGAGATAATTAAAACGAAAAACAAAAGCAAAAGTTAGGCGCGATTTTTCTTTAACAACTGTTTTTACAGCTGAAACTATAGCTGATAATAGATAATGAATCATCTAGATAATATTGTGAAAATCTTAAAATAGTTATTCCAAAATTCTGCTATTCGCATCGCATTTCGTAGTCGCGTGAAACTCGAATACCATCTAGTTTTTCTTTCTTTCTCGACGTACGCATCAAAGTGGTCATTTTTTGTCACAACGATCTCAGCAATGGAACATCAGAAAATACTCGTTTAAACGCAATAATAAAATATCGAGATCGAACTGATATCATTCGTTTTCCAGTTTTTAACAGGACGTTTAGTTCGTTTACAGGAAGCGTCACAAAAACACGATTTTGACTTTTTCAATTTTTGAGATAATTAAAACGAAAAGCAAAAGCGAAAGTTAGGCGCCATTTTTCTCTAACAACTGTTTTACAGCTGAAACTACAGCTGATAATAGATAATAAATTATCTAGATAATATTGTGAGAATCTTAAAATTGTTATTTCGAAATTCTGCTATTCGCATCGCATTTCGTAGGCGAGTACAACTCGAATACCTTCTAGTTTTGCTAGTGGTCTTGTTGAATTATCTCAATATGTTACGGTATCTGAAATTAAAGCTCGGTTTTTAACAAGTGCAAAAAATATAATTGATCAATTAACAAGTCCAACTTATTTAATATTAAGCAATAAAGGTTATGTTTTACGTGCAGTCATTGCCAATGGAACACAGGGTCCATACCCAGATAAACCTTATGATATAGCTACCGTATTTGGTGATTATTATTTAATACAAACTATATTACGTTTATTTAAACTTCAATAATTATTTTCAGTCTTCCTTGAGAGATGTGAGTATGGGTATGAAATGAACATGATACTCATACTCTTAAGATTCTCCTTGTTCATATATGTTTTATTCTGAAAAATAAACGTCTTTCTAGAAAACTTCAACTAATACTTGCATTCCAAGGTTAAATTCAGTTGAACGAAGATTTTAATATTCGTTTTATTCTCTGAGTCACATAAACTGATGAGACGAAAAAACGAAATCAAATGATGAAAACCTAAAGAAAGATGAAAATGAGTAATACGTAACTCATTTTTTTAATGTTCCTCTCTCTTTGTCTATGTTTTAGATCAAATATGTTGAACATTCTGTGCAACGTAATCGAACTATTTTCTATTGAATTGTGGCGAGAAGCTTTTGACTACTTCAGTTGTAACAGGAAAGGTATTGATAGTTACTTTATGGAAAATATTTTTATCAATTAACTCGTTAAGTTTTCATGATTTAATGAAATTATTTTTAGTTTTACAAAATATTCCATAATTTCGTATGGATTATCATGCAATTATTTTTTAATAATGACTTTAACGATCAATAGTAGAAGATGCCAACTACAATGCTGTAAATGAGTTAGTATACTCGAGTACATCTCAAGTTAATAAAGAATTTATAGTTCGAGCATTACGACTATTTACTAAATTATACACTGTTATCGCTCCTTTTTTGTTCTGTAATCTTTTTCTTTCATAAACTAAGAATCATCCTTCTCTTCGTAATATTCACTCCTCAAATAATCAGCGATATCAGTAGTACGTGATGAAATGAAAGCGAATCAGCATTCTTTATAGCAAGAGATATATCATGCCATAACATACACTAAATGAAAGGATTTATTCGATGCAAAACAATAAAAACTTTTATTGTCGATGCGATGTTCCCGATTGCTAAGATTTAAATTAGTTTGCGCTAATCTCCTTTATAATCGTGAATCTCATAGAGTATCACTCAATTTTCGACAAGAATATGCAGCAACACCATTTTAGACGGAACGTGATCCGTCAGCGATAAATGATGAAGATTTTTTAGCTTATAATTATTATTCTAATGTTGAAATTCGATTTAATATTAAAAAAGTAAGCCTTTCACTTCACATCTCTTTTGAGTATAAATAACAAACTGAATTGCTCAGAATGATCACACGAGATGTAAGATTTTTTCACACTATTATCGTTTTGAGTCTCTATTACTGTCTGATATGCTACTACAAAACACTTTCATGCGCTTGTGAATAATTAAAGATGGAATATATTTTTATCATTCTTCTTCGTTTGTCTAGTTTCATTTATATATATATATATAAACTATTTCATTCTGTTAATGAGCGACAATGTTATCTCCATTATTTCATTGGTTGATCAGAGAGGAATTAACGAAAACTTTACGCACAAATACCCATAATTCGACATTTATATACATGAGAACGAAACTAAATCGAACTGAGTGACGATGCTAACAATCACGTTATACTTTGAAGTTCAGACGATATAACAAGAAAAGTTGATGATTATATGAAATAATCGAGACAAAATCAGTGAATAAATTTCATGATAAAAGGTCGATTTCTTAAATATGAAGACAGAAATATGATTAAAATCCAGCTATAAAATTTTACATATAAAAAACAAAATTATACAAAAGGTTATTGTGTGAACAAAAAAAAATATCATTACTAGTTTATTAATTGGATGATTTAGAAGTTTCATGTAATTCAGACATGAATCTACCTGTAGTTATATTCTTAACCAAATGTGGTGGATCCAATAAATATGTTCTCTTTTCATCTGTATTTTAGATTGAAAATGTCAAACCTTCAGTGCAGTGTAATCAAGCTATTTCCTGTTGAATTATGGCGAGAAGTTTTTGGGTATTTCAATTCGAATGAGTTATGGTTCTCGTTTCGTGGTTTAAATAATAGAATTGATGAAATTCTTAGTCAAACAGCGTTACATATAAATTTTGAAAAAAAAGGCAATCATAGCTGCTTTTTTTTTATGAAAAATATTTTACCTACGATGAATGTTAGTAATATTCAATCCGTAAAATTAGGAAATTACGATGTAATAAAAGATTTCTTTTCTATCTATTCTCTTGGTTCATTAGTTCAACTTCGGTTGTTATCATTACCTTATATGTATTCTTTCAATGATAATTCATTTGCATTTTGGAATCAGCTTGCATCATTAAAACATTTAAAATCATTAGAACTTATGTTATGTGGCGGTTTTGGACATGATAATTGCATTGATGAGAAGGAATTTATTATTTTGTCAGTCTTTAACAAAGATTTTTGTCCGTTACTTAAACGTTTTACCATCGGAACTCCTGGAAGAATGAGATACACCAGTATACCTTCTTTGATTACAACAACTAACACAACTAATATCGAATACATGTCACTTGGTTCGTTAACTTTTAATGATTTGATTAAATTACTTCCTGCTTTACAAAACGTTAAATCATTTTGTATAGATTACCAATTATATCATAACAATGAGTCTAATGAACAACAACAGAAAATGACAACTACAATATCATTGATGCCGAAGTGTACGCGATTACATCTCAAACTATCAGATGATATAATGTTTGAACATGTTGAATATATACTGAAACATACACCAAATCTAACGGTTTTATTTTTATGGGGTTGGTGGCATTTATTAGATGCAAAGAAATGGGAAGCGTTATTGTCAACATATTGTCCAAAATTATTAAAACTTGATTTAATATGTACTGCTAATGTTTATGATGATGATTTTGGTGATGCAGAAGATAATTTTGAACAAGATTGTGCGACGATACGATTTTGGATTGAACGAAATGTTAGAATTATCTATGAAGAAGACTTTTCTGCACATGATTATCGTGATGACATTGTAGTTAGATTTAATATTCAAAAAATGGATCATTAGAAAAGATTATCGTTAGTTTTTTATTAGGAAATTCGGTTATAATTGCTTTTTCTTATTGTTTTCTTAATAATCAATCTATTATCGTTTCTTTGGCTTGTGTGAACAGCCGAAGATAAAAATCTTACAGCTATATTATGTTTTTTGTTATATTAGTAAAATAAAACAGCGTTTTGTATATCTAGATTTGAAAAAATAATCTTTTCTCTTTGTTGAAATGTTCTACAACCTTGAAAAGATCTTGTTATTAGTAGTGATGCAGAATAACACGTCATTGTGTTGAAAGTAAACTCATGCCTTTCTTAGTGCTCTGTATGTGATAAGAGATACGAATTTTTGCATAATCATTGTTCTTCTATTTTATTTTGGTTCTTTATATTATCACACAACATTTTCATACACTTGTGAATAACGAAAAATGAAATTTATTTTTATATGTCTGATATTGATTATTGCTGCTGTAAAAGAAGGTGATGGAATACATGCTCATGCAGAGATGTATCTTGCAGGAACAAATGTTTTTATTGGAACAATTAATTTATATGAGGAGGAAGAAGATTGGGGTGTTATTATGACTGGTTTTGTCAATCGTCTAAGACCTTTAGCAGTATTAGTAAGTATTTATTTTGAAGAATAAAATGCCAGTTCAATATCTTTCCTTAACGTGTAGTATTTTAGGATGATATAATATTATAAAAAAAACGTGCTTTTTGTGCACTCAAAAAGTGAGTACACTACTAGAATTGGTTAGTGTGTCAGGCCGTCCGGCCGTTTACACGATAACTTTCGAAAGGAGAATCAGACTGAGCTGAAATTTTCTACAGAGTTTAGTCTCATTGCTATCTCGGTCGAGTTCGAAGATGAGCCCAACCGGTTGTACCATAGCTGAGTTATAAAAGAAATTCTCATTATTGATCCGATCATCGCTGAGGGGGAGTACAGGGATTTTTTTCAAAAAAAATATTATCTCAAAATTATTTACAACATATATAAATCGACCCAGTTTTTAACGTTGATTCCGAATCTGACATCAGTTTTTGAACCAAATCGTAGCTTTCTAACAAAACATCGCCTGAAAAAGGTCTCAAAATGCACAAAAACTGTATACAGAGACCAAATTGCATAGATATATCTCAGATTACTAGTAGTTTTGAGGTTTTCTAAATACCTGGTTTTGTAGCTGGTCAAAATGACTATCGAAAAGTGAAAACCCGAACTCGATAGCTATTAATGTTGATGAGCTATTATGAAAATACTGATATCTGTATCTATCATATATCTCTTATAGATTCATGAGGTTACTTACGATCGTAATCCCGCTGGATACAAACACAAATTCATTTAAACATAACTCCTCTTATATGGTGTTTTTTTGGAGTAGATAGAATTTGTCAAGAGCTCTAGATAATGATAGGGGGTAAATATGGTGCGTTTGAGGCTTCCTCAACATTACACTGTCAGAAAACTATGAAAAACTCACATATAGTGACACTGCCGTTAGAACTTTTTATTGTTGACTAAGAACCAAAAAAACAAAGTGAATGTCTATTTCTGCTTTTTGCAGTACACATAACTTTCGGATAAAATCCGAGGTTACGCATTTATTTCTTCTTTCAAACACGTGAACAGGAATGAATAAAAACAAGATTTCGTACTGTATATACAATTGCTCTTCGCCATGCTTCGTTTATTCATGTGTTTTATATGGAAAAATTTTTGTATGATACAAACATAATTGTTCGATAATATTTTTCTTTTCAGTCAATAGCTATTTCATAGTTATTATACTATAATAAATATATAGTTTTATTTATTTACAAAAGAATATTATAAGAAATGGCAATGCAATCAAATGAACAAATTTCATCTGGTATTAAAATATATTTCAATCATCCATGGTATTTATTTAAAACTGAATTTTTTATTTTAATGTGGATTATTCTTGTAAGTTTCATAGATATATATATGATTAATTTCTAAATAGTAAATTTTATAAGTATCTTTATTACGAAAAAAAGATAGTAGAGTGTGTAACAATATTTGTCTCATTATTATTCTTTCATACACCGTAGGATACTTTCTTCCCATCTTATTTCGTTCATCTAATTGATGGAATAATTAATATATTTTTATATAAAGGGTTTTCATCTTGAATTAATTGGTTCAACATTGCCAATTCTTGGACAAAATATAAATGTTGGTTATACTGGAATGGGTTCAGTGCTTGCATCAAGAGCTGTTGGTTATTTAGTTGCAAATCTTCTTGGTATTAGTCTACAAAATATTACTAAGAAATATGCCGAAGCTCTTTTGATTTGTGCATTTATGTTAGCTGCTATTGGTAAAACTTATTTATATTCGATAAAAGATAAATAGTCATAATAATATTTTAGTGGTTTTGCTTACTCCATTTGTAAAATCATTGGTAGTAATGTGGATTTTATTTTTTATTCAAGGAGTTACTCAGAGTTTAACACATATAGGTATGTTAATTATTTTTCTTAAACGATGAAGTAATGCGTCTTTTTTTGTATAGCTGGAACTCATATTTTATTGACAATGTGGGGGGTTAATGCTACAGTACCATTAAATGCAGTTCATATAGGATATGGAATTGGTGCCGTTTTTGCTAATTTACTTGTTCAACCATTTCTCAATGGAAACGTTTCGTCAATGAATATTCCTAATAGTGAAATAACTAATTCAACATCAGTACCTGTTATTATTCTAAAGACATATTCTAGTATTTTCATTCCATATTTAATTGCTAGTATTTTATGTGTATTAATCGCGATTGGAAATGTATATTTCTATCTTCATGAATCAAGAAATCAAAGAGAAAAATTAGAAATTAAACAAGTAATGAGAAAATTAAAAAGAAAAAAAAATTATTTTAATATTTATTGATTATTTAGGCTGATTATGGTACTTTAACAAATGATATAACAGATATTATTGATATAAATGATACAAAGATTTCTTCACCATATTCTCCTCGTACATTTGGTAATGGAGATTATCGATATGGTTTAACACTTACGATAATATTTGTTTGTTACGCATTTTTTATGGGTGCAAACGATGAAACATTTTCAAAATTCTTTTTTTCCTATCTTACATTCAAAGAATTCCATATAGCAGATCGTGTTGCTAGTTGGGGCATTATTTTATATTGGATTTCAATGTCTGTATGTACCATAAAACTTTATTTTCGATATTCACTTAGTTTCGCTTATTCCGTATTTTTATGAAGAATTAATATTTGAGTTTAAGACCCATCCTCCTCAAAAAATCGATCTCCGAATTAAATAGATTCCAATCGTATAAAAATTTCAAGATATATTAGAACTGAAATGACGCGACTGAGGCACAATTTTCAACATTTGAAGTAGATGAAGTCTCGCTCTTCGAGATACCAAGGCAATAGTTTATGACGGCTTACCTTCTCATGCATTTATTTCAATTTTTGACAAAAATTGACATTTTTTTGGAGGAGTAGGGGTCTTAAACAAAATAAAATGGAATCGCTTTGATATTATCTGAAATTAGAAGAAAATTTGATAACTAATTACAATTTAGATTGGTCGATTAATTACAGCAATTTTATCTTCATTTCTATCGATTAATATATGTTTTAATATTCTTTGGACTGGTGGTTTATGTCTTGTTATAGCTTGGCTTAGTTTTGTATTCATTATTGGTTTAACTACTACAAGTTTATTGATACTTGGTGCATTTAGTGGTCTTATCTTTGGACCAATATTTCCTTTAACATTTGGTTTAATTAATCAACGATTAAATGCTGTACCAGCACTTATTGCTCTCATTTTTTCTGGATCAGCAGTTGGAACAATTATATTTCAACAAATAGCTGGTAAAATTATTTATTATCAATTAAAACAAATAAATTATTGTTTTTTGATGAAATTTTAGGTATTATTTTGGATCATGATCCAAATGATTTTCCAATTCTCTTAGCTTTTTTCATATTAATGTTAATCATTCTTTATACTGCTTCAAATCTTATTTATCACTTTCATCAACGAAGAAATCTTGAAAATACCCGATCTTCATTAACAAATGGTGCAGCATTGGCTCGTGAAAGTTTGACGGATGAAGAATTACCAATGATTAATTATCCAAGAGATCAAAATAATCAATAATATATTAATTTGAATTTTTTTCTAACCGAATAAATATAAATACATGTTTCAAGTAATTATGAAATATTGTCTATAAATTTATTAATAATTACGAAAAGACGATTTTTTATTCGATAATAATTTACTATTGCGTTAAGTAATGCCAGATATGACAGTCAGAAATCCGAAAAAGTTTTTAACAGTGAATTTTTGTCAGGTAAAATAAATTTCTGTAAATCTTGTTCTCAATTATATCATTTATTATTTCAAAAAGCAGATGTTTCAATATACCAAAAAAAGAAATCAACATCAAAATTCAAAATATAATAAACTAAATATATGAGAAGTATAAAGTACTGAGCCGCTGTCAAGTAAAAAAAAACTTTTTTTGAGTATTAACAAATAAATGAAATTTTATTCAGTAAAAATTATCCGAAACCGGGAAAAAATTGATTGCATTATAAATGGTTCTAATTGAAATATTCAAAATATAACATCAGTCCATCATGAGATCTACTGTAAATATTTGTTTGTTAATTTAATTGTTAGTAATGAAAATAATAATTTAAATTGTCTTCGTACTTGCTTGTGTGCCCGCATTTCACTGCGTAGTCGAAAACTAATTCTTCTTCGTTTGTCTTGTTTCATTTATATACGTATATAAACTATTTCATTCTGTTAATGAGCGACAATGTCATCTCCATTGTTTCATTGGTTGATCAGGGAGGAATTAACGAAAACTTTACGCACAAATACCCATAATTCGACATTTATATGCATGAGAGCGAAACTAAATCGAACTGAGTGAAGATGCTAATATTCACTTTATACTTTGAAGCTCAGACAATAAAACAAGAAAAGCTGATAATTATATGATATAATCGAGACAAAATCAGTGAATAAATTTCATGATAAAAGGTCGATTTCTTAAATATAAAGACAGAAATGTGATTAAAACTCAACTATAAAATTTTACATATTGAAAACGAAAATTATACAAAAGGTTATTGTATGAACAAGAAAACTATCATTACGAGTTTATTAATTGGATTATTTGAAAGTTTCATGTAATTCAGATATGAATCTATCTATAATTAATCATAACCGAATATGTGATGAATTCAGTAAATATGTTCTCTTTTCATCTGTATTTTAGATCGAAAATGTCAAACCATCAGTGCAGTGTAATCGAGCTATTTCCTGTTGAATTATGGCGAGAAGTTTTTGGGTATTTCAATTCGAATGAGTTATGGTTCTCGTTTCGTGATTTGAATAATAGAGTTGATAGAATTCTTAGCCAAACAGCGTTACATATAGATGTTAAAATAGAAGACAATGCTAATTACTTTATGAAAAATATTTTACCTACGATGAATGTTACTGATATTCGATCCTTAAAATTACGATATTCTCGTCCAGTAAGAGATTTCTTTTCTATCTATTCTCTTGGTTCATTAGTTCAACTTCGGTCGTTATCTTTAACTTTTATGAATCCTTACATTGATAATTCATTTACATTTTGGAATCACCTTGCATCATTAAATATTTAAAATCATTAGAACTTATGTTATGTGGCGATTCAGAACATGATTATAACATTGAAGAGAAGAAATTTATTATTTGTTCAATCGTTAATAAAGGTTTTTGTCCGTTACTTACATCTCTCACCATCGAAACTTCTGGAATAACGAGACACACCAGTATACTTTCTTTAATTACAACAACAAAAACAACCAATATCGAATATGTCTCACTTGATTCATTAAGTTTTAATGATATGATTAAACTATTTCCTGCTTTACAAAATGTCAAATTATTTCGTATATATTACGAATTATCTCATAACAATGAGTCTAATGAACAGCAACTGAAAAGGACAACTACAATACCATTGATGTCTAAGTGTACCCGATTATATCTCAGATTATCAGATGAAATAATGCTTGAGCATGTCGAATATATACTGAAACATACACCAAATCTAACGGATTTATTTTTATGGGGTTCGTGGCATTTATTAGATGCAAAGAAATGGGAATCGTTATTGTCAACATATTGTCCAAAGCTATTAAAATTTAAATTTTCATATGCTGGTTATACTTTTTGGGATGATGATTTTATTGAAGCAGCACATAATTTGCGACAAGATTTTGCAACGAGGCGATTCTGGATTGAACGAAATGTTACAATTACGTTTGATGCAGACTATGAACATATTTTAGTTAGACTTAGTATTCAAAACATAAATCATTAGAAAAGACTTATCGTTAGTTTTTTTGCTAGGGAGTTCAGTTATAACTGTTTTTTCTTGTTGTTTTCTTATTAATCAATCTATTATTGTGTCTTTGGCTTGTGTGCACAGCTGAAGATAAAAATCTTACAGCTATATTATATTTTTTGTTATATTGGTAAAATAAAACAGCATTTTGTATATCTAGATTTGAAAAAATAATCTTTTCTCTTTGTTGAAATGTTCTACAATCTTGAAAAGATCTTGTTATTAGCAGTGATGTAAAATAACACGTCATTGTGTTGAAAGTAAACTCATGCCTTTCTTAGTGCTCTGTATGTGATAAGAGATACGAATTTTTGCATAATCATTGCTCTTCTATTTTATTTTGGTTCTTTATATTATCACACAACATTTTCATACACTTGTGAATAACGAAAAATGAAATTTATTTTTATATTTCTGGTATTAATTGTTGCTGTTGTAAGAGAAAGTGATGGAATACATGCTCATGCAGAGATGTATCTTGCAGGAACAAATGATTTTATTGGAACAATTAACTTATATGAGGAGAAAGAGGCTTGGGGTGTTATTATGACTGGTTTTGTCAATCGTCTAAGACCTTTAGCAGTATTAGTAAGTAGATATTTTGAAGAATAAAGTACTTGTTCAACATCTTTCCTCAACGTGTAGTATTTTAAGATAATATAATATTATAAAAAAACGTGCTTATTTTCAAGATAATATCGATATTGTATTAATGCTTTAAATGGATTTTGATATTTTCGGTTTTGCAATCTTGAGTCATTTCGATTCAGTAGGAGACAGTCAGTTTTTCAATGTACACAAATACGACTTTCAGTAGTGAACTAATTTGAGCATCAATAGTCTTAAGATGATATTCTTTATAAGATCAATTTCTACTTATAGGGTTTTCATGTTCATTCGGAGCCCATTGGAAACAATCATAATTGTACAGCTGGTGGTGTTCATTTCAATCCATACAGTAAGTTTAGTTTACTATAATAGCGAGATAATCCTTACACTTCGTTTATTGTACTAGATGTATCTCATGGAATGCCAAGCGATTCTGTTCGACATGTCGGTGATCTGGGTAATATTGAAGTAAATGCTGATGGTGGAGCCTATATTGGATTACGTGATAATGTTATTTCGCTCGGATTCGATAAGACAAGAACTGTTATTGGTTTACCGCTCATGATTCACAATCTGACTGATGATGGAGGTCATACAGGAAAAGGTGAAAGTAACACGACTGGGTAAGTGTTCATATACTAACTTATGAATTTTTCCTTTATTAATATTATTATGATTTTATAGAAATGCTGGCCCTCGCATAGCATGTGGAACAATACTTATTGGTTGAACAATGATTTTCCATTATTGTAACAGTTTACTAACGTTTCTTAATAAAAGTTTTTACTTCTTTTTCAATCATCATTGTTTAATTTGAAAGAATAGGGTGTGGGCGGCAGTTGATCATGATGCTCTCATAACCACATTCACCCGACCTCGATTTATTTCGTAGGCCATTTCCCACTAATGTAAAACTTGAGGGTGTGAGTACAGGTATCACATTAACCATTCTCTCAAATCCACACTCTAGCAAAAAAGATCCTTCGAAAAAATTTGCTAATGTGTCCTTAATGTCGTAGACTAAAACTAATCTGAAAAAGTGCTTCTGAAGACCATTTTCTCACATTAGCATGTATTCCTGATTGTTGTCTACAGAGTCCTGAAAATCGTAGATCGATATGACTTTTCATTCAAAAGTTATAAGCTTTTCTTTCACGCATCTTTTTTAAAAATTCCAATAGTAGTATTATAAACTAACTAGTTGCCAATAGGAAGCATATGATTAAGCTATAATTAAACAAAGTACGTAATCACCTGACGATTAAAACATTTTTTTTGTTACTACATTTTAATAAAAAAATTGCTCTTATAATTACTGATACATTTATTTTCTATGATACAACAAAAACTATAAATTATAGATATCTATTTCTTTTATGACACAAGAAGCATATTAATGATAAGTTCAAATGACTTTCGGCATATGAGTCGAAAGTTATGATGTTTCAACTAATAGTGCACTGCTAATAAACAACATATATTCTAATACACTGATATTAGAAGTAGAGAAGTATTTATAATAAATAAATAAATTTTCTAATGATATATAATTTAGAAAATTAAAAAATATTCATATCCAATTTCTCTTTGGTTTTCTGATCAACATATCATTCTATTGTTGAGATATAGATGTATATTTTGAAGAAAAGATAAATAAATTGAAAATTTTCTAAAATCAGATTATATGGTCAAAACTTTCTTAGACTATGACAAACGTGGTATGGATGCACTTTTCAATGTCCTCAATACAATCTTGTATGCATCGCTGCTAGTTGTTAACATTTACTGAAAATATTTCTCATAAAATATAATCAATTTCGTATTTATCTTTGTAAATTGAAAGAAAAGTTCTGTATGAAAAAAGTGCATAATAGTCCATTTGTTCTTCCAGTACAAAAAAAAAGAGGAGAAACGAAGAATACACAATAACAAGAAAATATTTTGTTTTCATATGAGAATAAGTACTGAGAAAAAAAAGAATATGTCTGATTTCTTCAAGGTCTGTTATGTTATGTTGACATCAAGATAAAAAGAATAAATCAAAATTTATTCACGATGATAAAACAAAAATTCGAGTGATTTAATTAAATAATTTCTCACTGAATTTAATAATTACAGAATAATAATAATAATATCCTTGAAACGAGTATGACATATAACTATTCAAGGTCAATTGTAATGATATCACGATAACATTTTTCTCATACAAGACGAATAGAATACATTGTGTTTATCGAGAACGGGTAAGATCATGTGTTCTTACTCTGTCAGCATTACTTATGATATTTATTAAGACCGATGACAAAAAAAAAGCGCGTGATGTATATATGATGCGTCGTACATCAGGAAAGAAAAAAAAATATATCAGTACAAGAAAAAGACCTACGCACTCATACTGACAGCGCATGTTAAAAGAATGATAACATGGTCTTTTTTTCTCCTTTGTAATTATAAAAGACTTGATATTTTATCATAACGAATGATTATTTCGATTTAAACGATAAAAAAAAATCTTCTTACTTTATAATGGATTATTTGGAATTAGATCAAAATTTAAAATTATTAAATGGTTTACATGATGATATAACAAAAAGAAATGATATTATATCATATATTAAACAAAATAATAAAATATCTATATTTGCATATGGATCTTTATTATGGAATCCAATTGGACATATTGATAAAATTATTCCTGATTGTACTCTTCACGAATATAAAAAAGGTTTTTTTTGTGAAGATTTTGTTTATCGTGGTACAACAGATTTTAAAGGCTTAACAATGGGATTAGAAAAAGATTCAAATGCATATGTTCATGGTGCTTTATTTAGTTCAAATAATAATAAAATTCTTTCATTTATTAAATCATTCGTTAAAAGAGAAACACCAATTGATTTTAATAAAACCATCATGGATATTTATACATATGATTTCGTGAAAATTATTCTTCCTGATAGAATTAATGTTGAATATGCATTGACTTGTGTTGTTAATACAAATAGTTTATTCTATTTAAATAATAAATTAACATTAGAAGAACAATCTATAAGAATTGGTCAAGCTTATGGAATTAATGGAACTAATTTTCAATATTTAGATAAATTAATAAATATGTATCAACAATTAAATATTCAAGATTCATTTACAAAGATTTTAGAAAATCTTTATAGTAAAGTTCTTTTATATCGACAATCTTTATCAATGAATGCTCAGAAATGGTTTCAAATATATGATCAATTGCAAACATTAGAACAACGAAATGAAGCAGCTAAACAATTAAGTTCCATTGAATGTATATCAACTTTTCAATCATTTATTTATCGTTCCATTTATTATGAAGAAATAAATAAACAATCTAATCAATTAACATCAAATTAAATAACACTATAAGAAAATAATTCACTTTGTATTATATTCTCATCATTTTATGTAAATAAATACATTTTTTTTTATGAAATCATCTTTCAACATTGCTTCAATCGACTATCTTGAGTGTGGGTGTGAGAATGAAAATGAAGAAGAAGAAAAGATTAACAGCATCACCCATTTTCTCATCACCTTAGTCGAGCAGTTGAATCACTGTCGATGACTATGAGATGTTTCAAGTTTTCTAGCGGTTACAAAATAATATATATATTTGGTTTTTGAGATATTTTCACTATCATTAACTCTGCAGTCTGTTTCGAAAATTTGTCGGAAGCAAGAAAATTTTGAAAACAAAATTGTGAAAGACAACAGCCGCTGATCAGGGTGTGCGTGAGTGTGTGAATAAAAAGAAGACACCTACCCACTCCATCATACACTCACACTCACCCTCAATATTAGTATTGGTGTATGTGTTATATATCAAGAAGTAATGCTTAGATCACCCTATCTATGTCTCATGTCATGTATGTGTACACTAGGATCGAAACATATTCTTATATTACATATTCCACAATTTTATATTTGTATTTTTCATTGTATTGTGATCACACGAGGCCCACAAAATAATAGTTGCTCACAAATAACTTCGAAACAGCCATGGTTTTTCAGGATGTGGATGTGGGTATCCGTCTTTTCTCACTGCACACTCACGCTTTGCTCTTCGTTTTTATCAGCACTTAAATTAAAGATACTATGTAATTAAGTTTACTTATTCATTATATTAGTGATTTATTTAAAATAATAAAGTAACTACGTTAAGACAGGTGATGAAAAGATCAAAGAAATAAATCGTATGTAAAAAAAACTAACTGTGAACTTTTAAATCTAATATGACAATTTTTTAGTTAATAATAGCCTTTTCTGTTGCGCATCGACCAAAATTTTCTGGGGAATACATTTCTTCCGCTTTTGCTGGTGGCATTATGAATGTTCCAGCACATGTTGCACGCATAACATAACTCCATTCATATACACCAGGCCATAATAATGATCGAAATGCTTCAGCACGTTCATCTCTTAAATTTTCATGTTCAGCCCAACCAAGAATCGAATGTGGTCGACATCCAAAATAACGATTATTTCGATTTGATCTTGTTACTGATGAGTCTGTATCACCTGTAATTGTACCTTTCAATTGTGTATTTAATGCCTCACACCCAGCAGGTAAATAATCAACTAATACTATATGATATCGTCGTTGTGTAACAGTCATTGTTAATATAACCTTGATTTTTTTACCTAACTTAAATTTCCATATACCATCAGATTGTTTTTGGACATGAGAAAGATCATCGATAGCCATGTATGTTCGTTCAATTTTAAAACCATAATTAACAGCATCTAATTGTAAGCTTAACGGAGCATAATTTAATCCAATACGATAATATAATCGACCGGTGCCATCTTTTTGTATGATCAGATCTTTGTTCTGATCATTGATTTCTGCATTGGATGATGATGGTGACAAAACTATTTTCATTGGAATATCTATTGTATATATATCTGCTGTTTGGTCTTTAAATTAAGAAACAAAATGATTGTATTAACAATATTAGTAATAGATATCTTATTATTCTTCGTCTTACCTTTATATTGATGTTGGCCACAATAATCATTATCTAACCAAATATTAGCAGTAAAATCTGGTGTATCCCTTTCTTTTATATGAAAATATTTCGCTAATGCACTTAATACAAAACAATTTTCTTGTGTTGATTTCCATGCACCTTTCACTTTATGTGCTTGTAAACCTTTGCATAATTTCGTACAAAGAGTTGAGTTTGGATTTGTATATAATAATGCTTCTAATAAAATAGCATCTGTTCGTTGATCTGAATGTAACATAACTGATTGACCATCATCACCATAGGATGTTATAAAATTTGCTGTTTCACTTGTTTCACTTACTTTACCTTTTAAATGGTTATATATTGAATCAATTAATTGATTTGTCTTATCATTTTTCTCTATGTTTAATGCAATTAATAACCATCCTAATGCTTCTAAACTAAGTTTATTCAATCCACTTCGTGCAAATAATTCTAATGCTTCATTAGCTACCATTTGACGATGTTTCGCACGTACACATAATGCATAACAAATCAAACTAAATCGAGTTGTTTCACACCAATATTCACTATATGGTAATTTATCAATTTCAGATTCAATATTTGTAAGATAGTTCAATACATTGTCCAGCATATTCATGTCAACATTACATATCTTCAAAAAATAATACAACAATGTTTTAATAAATTAGACATATAGAAAACGACTCTTACCTGTGTTCTTAAAGCAATATTTAAACAAGCAGCAACATGTACACTTATAAATGGATCTGCATAAGAATCATCTCTATTTGTCCAATAACCAAATCCACCATTAGAGAATTGGCGACATTTCAATGTATTCATATCTGATTGTAATTTAGTTGTCATTATTGATATATCTGGTAAATCTTTACAATTAAATGCTTGTAAAACACCTGATAATAATAGTATACCTAATAATCTTGAACTTAATTGTTCTGTACATTCATATGGATATGTATAAAGTGAAATAATTGCATCTGTTAATGAAGCTAATGCTGTTGAACTTGTTGATATTGATAATTGACCAAATTGTGGAATAACATTCTCTGGTGCTTTTATTGGTTGGTAAACAACTTCTTCTTCACATATATCACCGTATGTTGCAAATGCTTCAGATGTTGCTGGTGTAAAGACAGGTACACTTAATTCAATTGCATCACCAAATGATGTTTGTGATTCATTTGTGGCAGTGCTGACTATAAATTCAAATCGCGCTGTACCTGAATCAGTTGTCGATATTGGAAATGTAAGTACAGCTCGTTTACTTGCTTGGAGTTGAATTGCATAACCAGCTACTTGTTGATTTTCTTCTGATGTTATTATTTTTGCATTAGTTGCTTTTAAACCAGCATGTAATAATAATGATTGATCAGTTTGATTTTGTAAAACAACTGAAAAATGAGCTGTATCTCCATAATTAAGAAATCTTGGTGGTGAAGGTCGAATCATAATTGGTAATTGAACAGTAAATGACATTTCACCTAAACCATATTGTTTATCAGTTGTTGCTATGGCCCATACACGATAGCGTGTTAAATTATCAGGTAACTTAAATTCAAATGAAACATATCCTGATGAATTAGTAATTGATGATGGTACCCAACATGCCAATGGAATGAAATTCGATCGAACAGCTATCTTTTGTTCATCATCACCAGCTCCAGGTAAACCGCTACTCGAAAAAGCCGTTGGCATAGTCCTACAACATTCCATCATCCGGTCACACATCATGTATCCTAAACGGTCATTTTCACCTGGTATTTCTTGTATATCATTCTTAAATTGTTCTATATCTTGCATATTGAATAATAAACAACGGTTTCTACCATGATATTCTGTAATTTTCGTTGACCGTTTAGGATAAAATATATCTAATGGACTAGTTAATTTATAATCAGTTAATGATAAAATAGCTTCATCAACAACAATTAGACAAACTTCTACTTTGTCTACAGGTACTTTATCTGTATATTGTGTAACATTAACATCTATATGAACGATTGATGATGGTATATACGTTTTATTTGTTTCTTTTGTATTAACTAATATATTTAGTTTATATAAATCTCTTGAGACTTCTAATGATACTGTACCAATAGCGATCGCCGGACGATTTGATGAATTAACTGTTTCTGTTTCTCTTGGAAGAGAACCTGTTAATTCAACACGAGCAGTAAATCCTGGTATCCAATCTTTTGATATTTTAAATTCAACAGTTGTTGAATCTTTTTCAGGTTCAATGTGGAAATGTATTGGTTGAGAAATTTGACCTTCACAATTAAACATAACTAAACCATTAGCTGGACTAAAAGGTGCTAAGATTAATAATTCACATGTATCATCTGGTTGGTAATTTGTTACATTAGGTATAATTGTCAATGTATCAATTGCAACATATACAACCTTTTTTTTCCCCATTTCTTTTCCACTACCGCCAGCAATATAAAGATTATCATAGAAACTCATACCTAATCGTCCTTGCTCATCTTTGACAGTATATAATACATTGTATCGACCGCCTAATATAAAAGAAAATTTTAAAAATATTATAAAGCAACGAATAAATAAATTACATGACAAACACTGTACAGTGATTTATCATGCATTCAATCTTTTACCTAATTTTGGTATAAAATCCATATTAATTGCATCTTTATTCGAACTAACATTTATAAATTGTTGTTCATCTTTTATTTCTTCAAATACTGTTAAACCACTTTCATCTTCTTTTTTTTCTTGACCAATGCCAACTATTTTACATTCAATTGAAATATTATCAATTAAATTTCCATCAATATCTGTAACAATGACTTTTGTTTGTACAGGTTTATCTTTTTTACCATAATTATCTACTAATTGAAATCCAACATAATACATGCATGGATGAATAAGAAACTGTGTTTGAGTTTCCTGTGTTTGATTATTTAAATCAGTAATAGATGCTAATGCACGAATTATTGTTGGTCTTGGCTCTTTTTCAATACCATGATAAGTAATCTTTATTTCATGTGTACCTTTATTATCTGTTATACCCTAAAGACAAAATAAGTATGTTTTTTTACTGAAATTAAACACATGATGAAGTCAATGTGAACTATCATTTCTATCAAATCATTATATAAAGACTAAAGATTTCTACAATGCTGAATAATATCCACGTAGAATATTTTTGTCGTATCAATGACATATTTATAATAGAAATATTTATAAAAGGGGTAGAGTATTCGATTGTTTTAATTGTCTCTCATCATACTCATTTCTTTATAAATTCTTTACTGTTATTTTAGAGAAATTACTTGAAAATATTCTGTTGGATATATTATTTTGTTATCATTACTATAACCAAACCAGCAAAAGAATGGTTGAGCTTGTCCAAATGTATAATCAGATCGATTGGCTGGTGTAAATGTTGTTGTTTCAGCGTGTACTGCCCATTGAACATTGGCATAACTTAAATAACCACCAGCAAATAATTTTCCTTGGCAAGTAGCTATAACGTATTCGCCATTATTTGGATGACAATAATGTACGATTGATGGTCGAGTCACTGATGAAACTTCATACTCTGGTCTACGAAACTCTCGAACTTTAAAATCATGTTTTGTACAGCCTTTTCCATCTGATAAACTGAAGAATACGTATCCATCACCTAATAATAATATCAATTCAAAATCAAAAAATTTGTCTTTCAATTAATAAACAAATAAATCTTGAAATGTTCAGTTTTATCTATGAGAAATTACATATCGCATAGTAGTTTCAATAACATGGTTAACTTACCAAGACTTCGAACATTGCTAGACTATCATATTAGTTTTGCTATACAAGATATCGTGTGTAATGACAAAACTGTCAATGTAAATCGAAATTTGGTCAAAGACTTGTATGTGATTATAACGATGAGTAAAGAAGGATGGATAGATTGGATACATCTAAAACATCATCTGAGCGAAAGTGATCGGGGGAGGGGAGATGAAAAGTACACAGTCACGTCTCGTCGAAATATATGCGATACATACAATCTAAAGATGGGAAAGGCAACAAATACAAATACACAGCTTTACCTAAATTAACATTGTCAGGTATTGTAAACTTGATATCAAATGCACCATAATTATTTAATTTAACTTTTGCTTCTCGAAGTTTTTCACCACGAGGATAATAAACAGTATAATCAATGACACCTTCAGCATAAGTTGGTAATTTTGCATCACCTTTTACTTCTAATAATCGAACATATCCTTTGATATGCACATCTTCATTTGGTTTATATAGATTTCGATCATTAAATACATGCCAAACGTAATCATTAAGATTGGATGCATGACAATAAATATCTGTTAGCATATATAGATCATGATCTTTTTTTACGATTAGTATTTCATTTCTTGATTTATTATTTTTAGATTTATAGTTTGAGATAGTGCATAATCCTTGTTGACGTGTTTCTTCTTTCTTGTCCCCTATCGAAACAATTGCTTGATTGACAGGTGCACCAGTCATTAATTCAGTAATCCATACAGTTAATCTAACATCTGTCGCTATGATAGAAGAATTTATATATGGACATACCTCAAATCTTTTCAAATTGTCTCTAGAATCTCTAGAACGTATATATTTCTTATTGTTACTTTCTGATTAACACATTCATTAAAGTTATTCTAATAGAAACATGATACTGACTCTAGTAATCTTTAATTACCTGGAAAAACAAATACATCAGCTGCTAATCGAGTACATTGTAACCAGGCTGATACAATTTCTCTACGTTCCCAATGCTTATGTTGACATTCATTCCATGCTTTTTGTGTTGGCTCAATGGCGACAATCAATTGACCGACTCCAGAATTTTTTGTTAAATATGCTTTCAAAGGCACTTTGATTACTTTTGATACATCACGTTCACAATTGGTTTGTATAACTTTATTTAGTAATTTTTCTCCAGGTAATTCAATAACTGATTCTTTTTCTTCATTTTTGTAAGAATGTCGCTGAAAACAAGGTAAATTTGGATGATAATGTTTTGGTTTGACTCGATTAATACGTAATGTTATTTCGGAATAATTATCGATCACAAATGGATAAAATGGTTCATCCAATACACCAGGATCCATTATAATCATACCTATAAATAAATTTTCTTTTTATATATAATCAATGTCTTTTCTTTTTTACATACCTGTAACACCCGATAGATCACCAACTAATGGTGGGAAATCATGTACATGAAATTGAATTGGTTGTTCAGAATAATCATGTTCTAATGTTTGACCATGAATATCTTTTAATATTCCTGATTGTATAACTAGTGTATAGATAGTATTTGGTTTAGAATTATTATGTATTATTATTTCTCGCTCATTGTAATCGATATGTGCAATACCTAAAATAATATTTTTTTTAATGTAGTTTTTTTTGTATATCTAAACATACCTAATGCACTAACTTCTGGTTCGATTTTGAATAATGATTTATTTATAGTTGAATGATCTAAAGCATAATTGAATGTTACTGACCAACTATGGCCAGGACTAATAGATGATTGATGTTCATTTTTTTTATTTGGACACCAATCAGTAATTTTTAGAGGTTCATAAGTCTGAAAATTACGTGACCATGTTGATGTTGTCACTAATGGACCTTCAGCTGATGGACAACCTGCAGGCAATTGAACTGTATATTGTGTTGCTTTTAGTAAATCATTTTTAAATGTAAATGCAACATATTTCTCATGATTTCCTTTAGTAGCATCTATATAAGATTTAAATTCCTTTTTTGCTGTAACTTCATCTACTAGTTCTAATTCGTTGTTTGTTATTTCATGTTTATCCCTGATCATTACACAGAAATGCTGCAAAATTCTATTCCTATCAATTTTTTGATCAAAGGATAGAAAACAGATTGGTTTCAATATTGAAACTGTTGGATATATTAAGGCTTGAAGAAGATTTAGTGTTGTTGTTGAAAATTCGAATAACAGTTCATCTTCTAATTTTCCTAAAAATAATGAAAACATTGAGAAAAAATGCAACTCGTCATCCAGGAAAGAAATGTCACATGCTCTTAAATTATCTTATAGATTCAGATAGATTTACCTCCAATTGTTGATACACAATGTTGTTTGTCAACCTTTAATACATATTTTGTTGAATATGGTAAACGATGTTCTGCTTCAAATTGAACTGTTTTCGTTCCTGTCCATCTCCATTGACCTTCTATTGTAGGTGTTAATGATATACCAAGATCTTCGATATTTATTTGATCATCTAATGATGAAACAGCAACCATTGGTTGATTAAATGTTATTGTAACATTTGTTAATGGATAACTTATTTGTGTTTCACTTGGAGAATATCTTTCGATGATCAATGGACCTGCTTCTTGTTTAGCTAGTTGTTTCAATTGTTCAATATCAAGATGAAAATCTTGTTTACGATCTTCTGAAGGCGGTGGAAATGGTGTTTGTATTACTTTACTTCTTTTTGGTCCTTTGATTGTTGCTTCATATTTAAAAAATTCTTGTTCATCCATTGATTCTGCAATCAGTTCAGAGCTAGCTCGAGCGAACAACTGCTGCAGCTGATCTGGAGTAAGGTCCTGTTGTGAATCATTATTTAATGATGCCTCTCCAGAATCTGCCGTTGGTTGATCATCCATTTCATTTGCTTCAGTAATATTAAAATGAAACTCATGGAGTGTAGATTGTTCATCTTCCGATATCTGATTCTGGATTTGTTGTATTATTCTCATTATATCATGACGACAGTATGAAAATATGTAAAATTGAACTTTTATCTACAACGAGTTCAGAATAGATAATCGGATTGAATATTTTAGAATTGACTAATATTTTTATGAGCAATAATCTGTTATCCATAAAAGAATTATATTTGTGTGTGTGTGTGAATGTGGGTAGATATTGGCGTGATTTGTCTCTTCAACACCTCACCCACTCACACCCACAAGTATAGTATATATAAACAAGTCTTTTATGGTACTGTAGATCCGCCGCTCACATTGAGTTTAGAAAACATTTTCATGAGACATTGGGAAACAAACAGACTCATCAACAAATATCAATAAATAAGACGGATGTGGGTGTGTACACAAAAAATTACCATGACGCGCTTCGATCTTATTGAAAGATCCTAACGAATGACAAAAAAATTTACGTAAGAAAATACAAAATTATTAAATAAAAAAACATGAATCTTTGAAATAATATCGTACAATTTTACTAACTTATATTTTTCGTAAAGTAGATAATTGACCGAAGAATATGATTGTATTGTTTTCCGATAATAAAAGCAAATTAAGAGAAACTTACCTTAAAACTGAAACTTGGGAGAGTGATTCGTAGTTGTGGAGTTAGAGTATTAGTTTTGATGGTTGCTGTTGATTTTGTAGTTTGGTATATCGAATAAGATCATCAGCAAGTGAATAAAAACTTTGTAATAAAATTCCAAATCGAATTCCAGTCGCATCTTGAACAGCCGTTGCTTCAGTTGATAAACGTGTACATAATGTACCTGTATTGTTATTTAGATCATCAAAATATGATATATCTTGGCGAAGTGATATTTCAAATGTTTTTATACGAAGACGTTTTGTTAATGCTTTACCAGAACAACCAAAGAAGAAACTCTTAAATGATAAAACTTATCTTTTTTTTAAATTTATTTACTTGAATAAATGTTGCGATGAAACAAATGATTCCAAATCCAATAAATATTAAATTATAAAGAAGAATTTTTCGATATTGAGAATCTTTATCACATTGTTAAAAAACCTTATTTCGTTTTTATTGGAATAAATAAAAATTAATTCTATGACGAAAAAGAAGAAAACATACGGCAGTTAATTTACTTAGAACAATTCCCGTTACTAGTTGTATAGCACCATTACAAATGCATCCACACAAAATAAATATCCATTCAGGTTTATTCATTCTAAACAATTGTGATGAAACATTTTTTCTTTTCATTTATTTCTTCCAATTCTTTATTTTGATTATTTTTAAGAGATTGTAATGATACATTACTCATTCTTCTTCAGGAATAGAATTTGTTTTATCTTGTATATTATGTAAATTTTGTTTTTGAATAAGATTCTAATAAATTGACTGATTATTCATGATTTCCTTCTTCAATTATTTCACCTTTTTGCATAGCAATTATTTTATTAGCATTTTGAATTGTTGATAAACGATGTCCAATAACAATTGTTGTTCGATCTTATTTATTAATGAAAGCATAGAATCAAAAAATTAAAAATGAAATACCTTGAGATGCACGATCTAAAGCCTCTTGAACTATTGTTTCACTTTCATTATCAAGTGCACTAGTAGCTAAATATAAAAATAATAAAATAAAATTTTATACTATTAATTAAATAAATTACTTGTGATAAATTCATAATAAATTCATGTATATTCGCCATTTTAGTTGCTTAATAAATTTCTTCATCGGTTGCTTTATCAAAGCCTAATAAAATATTTTCACAAATTGTTGTTTGGAATAAAATTGATTCTTGACTAACAACACCAATATTTTGTCTTAATCATTTTAAATTATATTTATTGATTTGATTATCAGCAATTAATATTGAATCAGACTTTGAATCATAAAATATTTGTAATAATTGAATACATGTTGATTTACCCGAGCCAGATGAGCCAACCGATGCAACTGTTTCACCTTTTTTATTATATTAAATGAAATATTTTTTAATATTTCAATATCAGAACGTGATGGATAAGAAAATTTAATATTACCAATTAAATCACTTTTTTTAATTCCTTTATCGAAATTATTATTAATTGTTGATGGCTAGTCAATAATAAATAAAAATATTTTAGTTTTTTGTTTAAACAAAATAGATTTACTTCATCAATCATATTCCATACAAATGATGCAGCACTTCTGGCTTGAGCTAATGCTTGTAAATGTGGACTGGCTTGTCCGAAATTAAAAACAGATACTAATATTATAATAAATACCTAATACTAATAATGAAAAATTCTAAAAAATTGAATTTAACTTACAATCATAACTGTTCCGATATTATATTCACCATGTTGAATTATTTTTGGTCCATACCAATAACCTTTTTTTTTAAATAAATAATTTTTTTCAAGTTTGATAATAAATAAAATACCTAATGCATATGAACAATAAAACATGAATCACAGAATACCCATGCTCAAACCATTAGCTACGCTTTTTCTTATTCCACGTTCTTTTGCTTCATTTACACATTGTTTATATCTAAAGAGAAATATTTATTCACAAACCTTTTCTTTTCTCGTTCGTGTACATTATAAGATAAAACAATACAAATTGAACTAAGTACTTCTTCAGCTACAGCACTTGCTTCACGATCAGCTTTTAATTCCATCGATGTTAAACTCGTTGTAACCTAATTATGTTGATAAATATTTTTATTTTTAAAATACTCTTTTAATTAACTAACTTCGGACATTACTACAGTTGAAATAAATACTACTGGTGATACCAATAGAAAAACCTAGAAAAAAATATTAACTTTTTTTGATTAACAAAAAAAAAAAGAACCAACTTAGAGCAAAACCAGAAATAAATGAAGCAATAAATTTTGTTGCTAATGCAAGTTTATCACCAACATCATCTGTCAACCTTATACATAATTGACCAGTTTTATTCATATCAAAATAAATTATTTCTTTATTAACAATTGATCGAAATAAATTCTGTCGAATAATTCCTGTTTGTCTTTCTGCTGCTATATTTAAAAATGATATTTGAAGAGATATATTTGCTAAATTCAATGTACATAAGTCAAATGTATGATCAGTAAATGTATTAATAATGGAAATGAAACATCATTAGCAATAGCAGCTATAAATGGTATCAATATTAAAATAAAATCAATCCACGTAGCATAACGAAATTAAATTTTAAACGTATTTACAAAATAGTTTTTATTTATTTTTCTTACCAAACTTCGAAGGCTCATAGATTTAATATCGTCCTTATCTATTTTTTTCAGTCGATTTCTCAGCACTAGAAAAAAATAGAATTTTATTATATTAAAGATTGAATATTTATTTTACCTTGAATTTTGAATACCTTTTTTTAATATATGGTCCATAATTTGATTATTAGAACTTTGTTAGTAGTTCTTTTCACATTTTTGCATTACTTTATATATAACCTTATCCGCATGAATAAACATCTAAAAAGGTATGCAACCGAAATTATGTTTCAAAATTGATTGTATAACTCATCGATTATTGAAAAAATCTATACATTCTTATCGAGAGCAAGTAAGGGTCATTTGAGCGGATGCTTAATACACAACGTATAACTCGTGAAAATATTAGAATAGAAAGAAAAGAAAAATACTCTACTTTTCGGTTACCTTACAGCATAGGTCACTCTCCGGTGACAGTTTCGGGAGGCCCCATATTTTCTCTACAACTATCACCGAGCACAATATACTCAAATTGTATGAACTAAAGAAAAGAAGAACGAATTATTTTCACCATGTTATAATACAATTTTACTTGATAAAACACATACAAAAAGAAAAAAAATCGATTGTTGAATAAAAGCCTACTATCGTCATCCACTTATACTATATATATTATATCGAAAAAACGAACACATCCTTAATTTTTTCTCGTCAATATTGGATAATTGTTGAACTGTATTCTCATATAAAATAATGACGAATATTAATATTATTAATTAAATGAAGATTAATTATCTAAAAAAGGAATTTTACTTTTGTTTTTATTGCACGTAAAATATAATTTTTATCGCTGAAATAATTCTGCTAGCATAATTTACTAGGATAAAATTCTATGTACAAAAATACAACATAGATGTGATCATTGTCGTTGACTTAAATATTTTCAATAAGGTTAACAAAAATTGAATTATTTTTATTTAATAAAATTTAAGAATACGTAAAGATTTTATAATGACAACTGAACAAACAACTATTGAACAAGAATCAATAAATACCAGTTATCAATCAATAAGAAATACGTATAAAATAAATTTTCATTTTTTGGAATATATTGTTCTCACTACGGTTGATAAATCATGTTTAATACATATAAAAGATATTTATTTATCGACTTTAAAATGTAATCCATATGATTCATCATATTATTTTAAAAGAATCCCCCATACATGATGCATTTAATATTTGATTCAAATATTGAATGAGTTTGAGATCATGACAATATCCAAAACAACATTCTATTAATTATATAACTCCATTTCTCTCGAAAAAGTCAATGACAGAGGTATATGCCAGGGTTGCATGCATGCTATCGTGAGTGCTTGTGTATATAGCTTATCTCAACCTTTACACAATAAAACGACATTTTCTTTTTTTTCTTCGTTTAGTGTGATGATCACTCTGTATTCTCACCATGCTCGCAAGTAGTCAACCACGTGTAATTCTCGTCACAGGAGCAAACAAAGGTATTGGTTTTGAAATTGTGAAGAAGCTCATCAAAGAATCACCGCCAAACAATAATGTTATACTTCTTGGTTGTCGTGATTTAAAACGAGGTCAAGATGCACTTATTCAATTATGCTCTCCACCAAATGTTCATTGTCTTCAACTAGATGTATCATCACGAGAAAGTATCTTTCATGCTACTAATGAAATAAAAAGCAAGTATGGTGGTCAACTAGATGTATTGATTAATAATGCTGCCATAGGAGAACTAGAATTAGCTGTCGATTCAGCTACAGAAATGTTTTCTATAAATTATTATGGTATCAAAATATTAAATGAACATTTATTTCCTTTGATACGAGAGAATGGTCGTGTGATTAATGTAGCCAGTGCATGTGGCCCTATCGTATTGTATGAGGCCTCAGAAAGTCTTCAAAATCAATATACATCATCAACATTGACTTTGCAACAACTTGATGATCTTGTTGAAGATTTCATCTCATCTATTGGAACACATAGTATTGAACAACTAGGTTACAATCCCAAATCACTTTATTTGATTTACAGTGTTACGAAGGCAGCGGTTATTTCTCTCACTCAAATTGAAGCGCGTCAATGGTCTGGTGCTAAACATGTACTTATTCTTTCCGTATGTCCAGGATTTTGTACTACTGACATAAATAAGAATGCTCCTGGTAGTCGTCATCCAGAATTCGGTGCTGACTCAATCTTATATGTTGTCAATACTCCTCGAAATGAACTTAAAAATGGTTGTTTCTATCGAGATGGTCAACTGCTACCACAAATCGGCAGAATCAATCGTGAAAATTAAATCAAACAAAAACAAAAGATATCTTCATTTACTATGCCTAGAACTTTTCAAGTTGAATATAGTATGTAAGAAATTTTAATCAATGAAGAATTAAGGAAAATATAAATAATAAAATCAATATTTCTGATAGGTGTCAGGGGCACGGTGACTTTAATTTTTTTTAGTTCATCGGTGCCGGTGGCTGTTCAGCCGCACGTTTTATACCTTTAGTTGCACGCTCAATTTGCTCTTGACCTTCTGTTGATATACTACAGTTATCCAAAATGAAATGAAAAAAATCATGACGTGTACGCATAGCAGAGCAGATAACATCTACACTAGCGTCAGTTATTCGTCTGTTACCACTTAAAGTTATCGTTTCGAGACTATTTTCATAAGATCTAGTTGCATCAAGTAATAATCGAAGTCCTCGATCACTAATATCATTATCACTTAGATATAGATGCCACATTGCATGATTTACTCGGAGCATTTCAGCCAAATATTCACAACCAATATCTGACATTCCAACAGACTTCAGGTAAAGAGTTCTGCAACAGACATCTTCATTTGATAAGCCTCTGGCAATAATTCGAACACCTTCATCCAATATACGATTGCCATCAAGGGTTAATGCCAAGAAATACCTACCACTAACGAATACTTGAGACATGATTGAAATACCGACCGATGTGATTGCATTATTACGAAGTCTCAGTATCCTGCACTTCTTTTCAATAATACCTAATCTCACAACTATTTCCATGTCTCGATCATTCACATTTCTTGAATTTAAAACTAATTCCCCACTTGTTTCTGCTGATCGAATAATTTTTTCAAGTTTTGGATTATGATACGTATCTACCGGTAGACTTACATTCATTAATGTGTCATCGACTAAGCCCTTTTCACGCAAATGAATAATATGAATTCCCTCTCCTTGCTCTGATAATCCTGTAACTTCAAGAGAGATTCCCGATAAAAGAATGATTTCATCGTCATTTTGAAGGTGTGAATGTTCTCGGATAGATTTACCATGTTTAGTTTCAATATTAAATATTGTCTGAACTTTTTCTCTACCTAAATACATTGGTGATTGAAGAATATCAAATGAAGATGTTACTGAAGTTAATGACCACCATGTCACTTCATCTCCTTCTCGATAATTTTCACGAATATCTTTCGCAACACCACGCCAAACTGTATGATATTCACTGTATCTACAATTGAATTGATGAAATCACTCCATATCCACGAAAGTGAATGGCACTTACGGTAACTTTGAAAACGCTGTAAACAATAGTTTCAGATATTTGAACCAATGTTGAAGTTCATTTCTATCCATGGTACAAATTACTTGATTGAGTAGAATATGAAGACTGTTTTGTGGTTGACTCCATTCCATTGTATACAAATAGATAGATGCAGATTCATCTTGTGTAAGTCCATGTTTAGGTTGTTTTGAATTCAATTTCGCAACAGTGATGTAGAGTTGAAGTTCTGTACCGAGTAGATTTTCAAGTGGTTGACAAGCTTGTTCAAGAGAAAGAAGTTCTTCTTGTTGATAATCATTAATTGATTCCTTATTTTCTTGTGGTTGGTGAGAAATATCAATCAAAACACGAGGATTTATTTCAAATGAGAACGACATAATTGCACATATATCTATTCACTTTTTTTCCTTCTTTCCAACTTTATTCAAATCTAAGTATGGATGTTTTGTCATATGTTATAGACAGGTAAAAAACCAAGAAGAGAAACAGGACACCTACGCACGCTTGTAATTGCACGAAAAAGAAATGCGATATGTGAAAGAAAAGTAGAAAAAAAACGTGTTTAAAGATAAAGATGGATTATCAATCTATTACAATTGTCTTCACTTCATTTTCTTATTTATTTTCAAAACAAAAATCTCTCTTTGTATTTGTAATGATTTAAGAGAAAAGTTGAACAATATTCCTTTTTTCTCCCATACAAAATGCATACTGACTCATCTTGTCATATATATATAAAGGTGTAATGTCTACATTTGGTTGGTTTTTTCCATTTATAAAACGAAAAAAATAGTTGATAAGGAAGTGCAATGTACGAAATGTCGTGTATTTAGTGCTTCATTCATTGATAAAAAATCATATTATTTTTGTTGATATGATTTCGATGCAACTGATAATGAATGATTAAAAGTGGAACAATCTGAAATAATCTGTAAGAAATCTATTAATCAATGGTACAAAAAATTAAATATTAGTAGTGTTACACTTCCAAGTTGGTCTCCAATTACATTGATGTATAATTTTTGTAAGATTGTTTTCGATCTCATTTGCTTGGTGTAAACGTCTTCTTAAAGATATTAACCCATCCGTTGTTGATGGTGGGTGTGGATGTGTTGGTATGATACTCATGGAGTACTTGCATCCTCACCCATACCCAAGCCCTCACAAAATAGTTCTTCTTCTTCTTTAATTGGCTCGTTATTTTGACCGTTTTCGCAAGATTTGTTTGGTGAAGGTGCTCTTGAGGGTGAAGGTGTGATCTGTTCAATCATATACACCCTCACCACACGAGCAGGAATTCCGGATAGTGGCTTGTATTTGCGGGTAACATCCTTTTTGGGAATTCCGGAATTGACGAAAGACCATCCGGAGTGAGAAGGCAGTGCAGGAAAGTGTAACTTTTGGGAATATGAAGCAATCTCTAAAAACAATTTAAATTTTAGTAAACAATAAAATGATATAGATATGTTGGAATCCATATATTCTGTTGTAGAAAAATCTTGCAAGATACAAATCAATATTCTTATGTATAGGATTAGGTAAAGTTTGGTGTTTATTATTGTAAGGAAAAGAAACAACAACAACAATACATTTCGCTAGTGTGCAATTTAGTCAAATAAAAGCAAATGTTTTTGATAAGAATATAAGTATGATCAGTTCAAATAAGAGTGATATTAGCGATTTCAGTGTGATTACAGCAATCATAATTTGTTAACCAAAAGCTAATCGTATATGTACCACCGGCAATTGTAGAAAATGTTTGACTTATCGTATCGCCCGTCATATTACCGCCAATATAACCGGCACAAGGATCATAATAATACCAACTACCTGATTTAGCATAACTGCTACCCGAAGTAGCCTGTCCATAGTTGTTGCCGCAGTTGCCTGTATGATTCCATCCAGTGAGACTGCCTGCTTCAAATCCTCCATTGATTATCTTCTGTGTGGTACCATAATAAACACTAACATCATCAAGCATTCAAGCACCAGGATCGTGACGAAAAAAGAAAGATAGTGTTGCTGATAGTGCTGTAGCCGTCCATGTATATGCATAACAAGTATAATTTGGATAAATGAATGACGTTGGATTCATAAGATATAAGAGTGTTCCATTTGAAACTGATTGAGGAGGACACGGTGGAGCAACTATGAATGAAATAATTAGAAAATTAATCATATAAAAAGAATTTTAGTGAAAGTATCTTGAGGGTGTATCAACGAATTATGTTATTACTGACTTACAACAATCCAGACAACATCGAATAACTGATCAGTCGAACTTAATCATTTAACTATTATTATTTCATATGAACAAATACTATGATCATCATGATACTCAATAATCTATCATTTAATAAAGAGAATAGCTACTATTTGTTAGTCTAGTTTATACAGTATGCCGATTAAGAATAATTGTAAACTGTTTAAATACATATTTAATAGAGATACCCTATACTTTGTAGATTTTATAGCATGTTTATAGATTTTCAATTCAAGATTGTTTTAAAAAGATAACACTGCAATGATCAATACACAGTGTTTACGCAACAAAAATTATTAATTCATTACGCTATCGCTACACTTTGATACGAACTAAAATTGATTCAAATTCAGTTAAAACTCTTCAAAAACTAACAAACGTGTCAGAGTATTCGTGTTACAGGAGATCAACTGGACATTGAAATTACTTTCCTACGAAAACTATTCGGCAGATTTTCTCAAATAGTATTTCGATACTTTTCCAGATGAATTAGACATAGAAAATATCTGCGATTCGGTGATCTAACGAATGATAGCATACCTGTTGACATTGCTGTTGTTGTTGATGTTGATGATGACGATGTTGATAATGATGTTGTTGATGTTGTTGATGATGATGATGATGTTGATGTTGACGATGTTGTTTTTGTTGTTGTTGTTGATGTTGTTGAAGATGACGATGTTGATGATGACGATGATGATGATGTTGTTGATGTTGTTTTGGTAATGGTAGTCGTTACTGTGGAGCTTGATGTTAATGGCGAACTAGCATTGCCTAGAACAATATAATAACAAAAATCTAATAGGTAGATTTTCTTTTTTTTAATTGCATAAACCTGTAAGCAAATGTTTAGAACTTTATCACTCAATGATTTATATGGAATCACTTAAAATCAAATTCTCACATTATTTGTCATCTCATCAAGTGAGATCTAATTGCAAGGAAAACTAATACGGAAGTTTGTCTTCATTCTAGATATTTGTCTAAACATGTCTTACCAGTACATATTGACGAGACACAAGTAATATTTAAATCAGTTCGACACCAGTTATCATTTGCACATACTTCACCGTCATATCTTTGATTGACACAAATAGATCCATTCCAGAAAGTATGAATTGGACAATGACACCAATCATTTAATGT